CAAAAATTTGTGGAAAGCATGTGTAAAAAATTGCATTTGCATGATAGGTGGCATTATGTCAATCCTGTTGGTAGAAAAGGAGGCTTGTTCTTAACTTGGTCTGAGAATATCTCTCTGATTGAGTTGAGCAGTCTTGACTTTTGCATTGAGGTGAAGTTTAAATTCAAAAACTCACCTGATTTTTATTGGGCTATTTTTGTTTATGCTAGCACTGAGTCTGAGACCAGGGCTAGACAATGGGAACTTCTCATTAGGCATAGTATTAGATGGGGTAATATGTGGTTTCTTTGTGGAGATTTCAATGATATTCTATGTCACTCTGAAAAGAGGGGGGGGGGTCTCAAGAGAGAAGAATCTAGTTTCACTAACTTCAGAAATTTTGTTAGAACATTAGATGGAGTGGAGCCCAACTCTGGGGGGTATCCCTTCACATGGTCTAATAATAGATGTGGAGATCAGTTCATAGAAGAGAAACTAGACAGATTCTTTCTTTCTCCCTCTTGGCTTTTAAATTTCCCTAACTCTCTTGTTCAGCACTACACTCTGATTTCTTCAGATCACTGTATGTTATTAATGGATTGTTCTTCTAGCTCAGTGACTTATAAAAAAAAGATTTATGTTTGATGCTTCTTGGGTATATGCTGAGGACTTTATCTCTGTTGTTGAATCTGCTTGGAATGTGCATGTTTCTGGTCATGCTTTATTCAGTATCCAGGATAGATTGAGACATGTGAGAATGAGTCTTTTGAAATGGAATCAGGCCCGGAAATTCAATGCTAGACAAATGATTGATAATTGTAAATCTAAGCTGAGCTCCCTTAGGAAATTAGGGGGGGACAGGAATTGGGGAGAGTGGGTTACTTGTAAGAGTGAATTGAATCTGGCTTATAAATGTGAGGAGAGATTTTGGAAACAGAAGGCTAGGATCCATTGGCTTAGAGAGGGAGATCATAACTCTAATTTTTTTCATGCACGTGTCACCCAGAGAAGGAAGAACAACAACCTCAAGCATATTTTGAAACCAGATGGGTCTTGTTGTCTTAATTCTCAGGAGACTCTTGAGGAGTTGTTATCCTACTTTGATGAGCTTTTTAAATCCTCTAATCCCTTGGACCAGGCTTGCAACCTGCATGGTATTCCTAGAACTATCACTGATGATATTAATGCTGATTTAGTTAAGAAGGTTGAGGAAAAAGAAATAGAATCTGCTGTTTTTGATATGCACCATGACAAAGCTCCTGGAGCTGATGGTTTTACTGCTCTTTTTTTTTTCAAAAAACTTGGCCGGTTATAAAATTTCACATTTGCCTTGCTGTGGACAATTTCTTTGCTTGTGGGAAAATGCCTAGGGGTCTCAATCATATAGTTATCACATTAATTCCTAAAAAGCAGAATCCTACTAAAGTGGCTGACTTTCGACCTATTAGTTTATGTTCTGTGGTTTACAAGATCATTGCTAAGGTTATAGCTAATAGGTTAAAGCCAGTTCTTTCTTCATGCATCTCTGTTGCTCAATCTGCTTTTGTTCCAGGTAGACAAATTCTAGATAATGTGATAATTGCTAATGAGTGCATTCATTATTTAAATAGCAAAAGAAAAGGCAAACAGTGCTTTATGGCTTTAAAATTAGATATGGCCAAGGCCTATGACAGAGTTGAATGGTCCTTCATTGCTAGAATATGCAGACAAATGGGTTTTTGTGATACTTTTGTTTCTTGGGTGCTTGCTTGTGTCTGCTCTACCTCTTACTCTTTTAATATTGAGGGTTCTTGTTTGGGCTTTCTTCAACCTACTAGAGGTATTAGGCAGGGTGATCCTTTATCACCTTACTTGTTCATCCTTATTTCTGAAGCCTTTTCCAATTTGATTAAACAAGCCTGTCTTTCTGGTGAGTTCAGAGGGGTTAGAGTAGCTAAGAATTCTCCTTTTATCTCCCATCTTTTGTTTGCTGATGATTCTATCATTTTTTGTAATGCTGATTTAGCTCATGCCAATCTGATTGTTTCTATTCTTGCTAAATATGGCCATGATTCTGGGCAACTTGTTAATTTTGAAAAATCCTCAATCTTTTTTTCTAAGAACACACAGGAAGGTCTGGGAAATGATATCTGTTCTGTGCTCTCTGGTATTTCCAAAGTTCATTCTTCTAAGTACTTAGGCTTGCCTTTAGGTATTGGGAGGACTAAGAGAGATGTTTTTCTTTTTGTGAGTGAGTGTGTTCAAAATAGAATTAGAAATTGGAAAAACAAATTTCTTAGTGAGGCTGGGAGAGAGATATTAATTAAATCAGTGCTCAATGCTTTACCCACTTACATTATGTCCTGCTTTAGAATTCCTATGTCCATCATCAAAAATATATGCAGGGATGTTGCAGCATTCTGGTGGGGTAAAAATGAGAGTGGTAATGACAAGATTC